CAGGTGGATCATGTTTAGTCAGAACTCTCCACTATGACCTGTCCATCTTGGGTGTCCCTGCATGGCATAGCCTATAGCTTCTCTGAATTACTAAAGCCCCTTTGCCACGAGAAGGCAGCAATTTGTGAAGGGGCTTAACACAAATACAGATGGCAAAATAGGTGAGGAACTTACCTTGAGCCCAGAGGAGAACTCAACCATTTCCTCTGCCTGAACATTTCTCAGGCCATACACACGGGCAATACCATCGCCAATTGAGAGGACGCGGCCAGTTTCTTCTAGTTCAGCAGAGGTGTCAGCACCCAGAATACGTTCCTCAAGAATAGAAGATACTTCAGCTGTACCTGGAATTATATAAATCAGGTTAATAATGTTTCCCTTTGCCATCTAAATGAGGGCGGCACATCCAGGTTACATGGCAGTTCCCTCCCAGATCCATTCAGCAGCCCTCTTTCCTTCCTGGGACAGAGTTCAGAGATTACACTGTTGAAAAGTGATATGCATAAGCATCTCCTGGAAAGGGAAAGAAGATGATGTTTTCCAGAGGTACACATAAATATCACTCTTTCCTCTCTATTAAGAGTAATCTATACAAGATTCTCTACAGAAGAGAACAGAAAGCCTTCCCTCCACCAATCTTAATATTGCTTTTTTGAATACAGTAAAACACAGATTCAGAGCACTTCCTTAAGGGCTTATGGAGCTGCAGATTATATACTCAGATCTAAAGTTCTGCCATGTTGCTCATTGTACTACAAAATTCATCTGCCTTTCCTATAAGTAACAGCTGGCAGCAACCAAAAACACTAGAGAATGATTACAGACCTAACAAAAATGACAAAGAAGAGATAAATTCCAGTCTCAAAATAGAGGTTCACAACAACAAATGCACCTGTCACTGAATTTGCTGCTGTAGCATTCAAAGAATCGCTGGTTCTAATTTAAAACAAAGCATGCACTACTAAAATGCACATTTGTATTTCAAAAAAGGTTCTTTCATCTATGTGTTAGTTTTTAAAAACGACTCAGAATTCAAAGGCATTTTAAAAAAAGACAGTTGGATTTTTTTTTTTGAAACAACTTTTCCATAATTTAACATTTTAAAAAGTGATGTAGTCAAATAGTGGCTAAACTACTGAAAAGCTTACTTTGATTTGATCCTGAAAGCTTTAAGACATTATATCAAGTTTCACTGCTACCAGAGACAAGAATCAGAAAAACAGATACCTGCTACTAATTATTAGCCGCCCAGAGTAAACTTGTATCTAGATGGGTGGGGTATAAATTTAATAAATAAATAACTGGGTGCAAATATTTGAAAGACAAAAAGCCAAATAAGAATTCATACAAGAGGTCAACAGAACAGCTGGAAACCAAGTCCAATTAAGGTTGCCCTTTATGGCACTACGGCTTCACTGCGGATGAGAGGAGTTTCAATGACTTACAACCTACCCGTTTTCTGTAGGCTCATTTTGGAGGCATGAAGATTCCTTGTTGCAACAAATGTTGCGCCCAAAGCATTCCTAGACACCTAACAGGAAGAAAAAGATTCGGAGTTTATGCCCAATAGCCTCTCCCTCCGACAGAGATTAAATGTACTCCCCGGATCGTGGTTTTAAACTAAGAGTCAACTTCATTCATAATTAACAAATGGTTTCCCCTTATTTCAGCACAGCTTTGTCTATAAGCAGAATTTCATAGCAAATTCTGAACAGATGCTATTCCACATCACACTTTATTACGTGTGATGTTTCGACTAGGTGGCTCTCTGGAAGCAAAAATGACAAAACTGATTCATTCGTATTTTTGGCACATCCTGAGAGAACAAGGCTCACTGGGAAAGATAAGAATGCTTAGAAAAATTGAACTCATGAGTAAGAGGAGGGCTGAATACAAGATGGACTGACTCAATACAGTTTTCAAGAGCTGAGCAGGACTGTCAATGACAGGATCTTTGAAGGTCATTAATTCATAGGGTTGCCATATGTCAGAAATGACTTGACAGCATTCCACACAACTAGGAGACACAACTTTACATCACATTCTGGGCATATTAAGTTGAATAAAAAATCTACTGCATTCAATTGTTGTACAATTGTTGATTTAGTCACTGGCTAAAATCCTGCCTTTGTGTGCTGCAGGGTCAGAAGACCAGCAGTCGTAAGATCGAATGAGCTCCCGTCGCTTTGTACCAGCTCCCTGCCAACCTAGCAGTTCGAAAGCATGTAAATGCGAGTAGATAAAGAGGTACCACCTCGGTGGGAAGGTAAACAGCGTTCCGGGTCTAAGTCGCACTGGCCATGTGACCACGGAAGATTGTCTTCGGACAAACACTGGCTCTACGGCTTGGAAACGGGGAGGAGCACCGCCCCCTAGTCTCAAACATGACTTATTAAAATGTCAAGGGGAACCTTTACCTTAAAAAAAATCCTGTACCTAGACTAGCACAGCCAGAATGATGTCACTAGAATCGGCAAATTGGTGCTAATTAATGAGTTCTGCTTTGATTTTGGATAACAAGCAACTTCACTGAACTTCATGCAAATTGCACACAACTTCAAATCAAAATAGGAACTATTTAATTAGCAACAATCAACCATTGCTGCTCATTTATTCCAACTCCACTGGCATAGCTGTGCAACCCAATACGAGCCAATGCTGTACTGTATTGCTTAAATGTGGCTTTAAGAAGGATAGGATTTGCACTACTAAATTTAAAAGCACAAAGGCATATCTTCTTTCTACAGAAGATTCAAAGACCTGAAGATGTTTTAAAAAACCACTCACCCACTTCCCTCACTGTTTTAGGAGCACATTTCTGCAAAATCCTTTACATTTCCTATCATTCAGAAACCTTTACTAAAAGACCGTGGTTGAATAAGTCATGTTCTGCACCAAGACTGCAGAAGTAGAACCTGCTTCATCACTGCAACAGCTTTTTTTTAACAATTATGTTGCCCACTATTTTAATGGGCATCTTGACAAAATTCTGCAAGTCCTGTCAAGTCTGCAGCAGGAGAAGGACAGTTGCCTCTTAGACAACTAACATACAGGACTCCATATCAAGCAGCCTATTTTATATTCTCAGCATTCCCATCAGAGCAATACTGCCCTATCAACTCCTCTGAAAAGCGGCTATATTAAACACTAGACCTGACTTTTGACCGTGAAAACAGGCCAACCAAGCTGTGCGACAGGCTTTTCCCTCCATGCAAACTAAAAATGCGCCTAAACGTAGTTGAGAGGCAAAGCTTACAAAAGAGGAATAAATAAGAGCAAGGGAGAATGCCCTAGGGTTCCTCACGACCCGCTTTCAAGGTCACAAATCCTTCCCTCTCCCACAATGGTCCTGGTCAGACAAGCCTCTTCTGGCCTTTTCTCCTCCTACTTCTGCACGCTTTTGCAGATTTTACCATTCTCTGATGGCCAGGAGACGTTCAAGAGACGCGCCCAGATCGACTGAACGAATGCCAGGAAGGGAAGGACTGTGCGTTATGCCTTTGACTGGAGCTATTCTGCAAGAGGGGTTTTTGGAGAGAGGACGCTTTCTTCCCCCCGATGCCCGGAGCAGATCTCCGAAAAACACGGGCTTAGCCAGGACTCTCTCCACCGCCCCACGGGCCCCCTTCCAAGGGACGCCGCCAGCCTCCTTTTCCCCGTCCAAAACGAGGAAGGGGAGAGAATAACCAAGCGCCTTCCTCGGGCATGACCTTGCTCGGCCAGGCCTGTCCCTCGAGGGGAAGGGGGCGAAGGAGACGTCGCCGCGGGCAAAGGACAAGGGCGCCGAGAAAGGGAGAAGACCGCGAGGGAGGAGGAGAGGGGCTGGGCTACAGGGCCCGCTCCCCGCAGCCCGGCCAGCCGTTGGCCCCAATGTCACCCTCCCGGCCCGAGCACCAAGATGGCGGCGCCGACGAAAGTCTCTCCCCCCCACACACGTCCCCGTCGCGCCCGCTCACCAAGCCGGCCTGCCGGGGCAGGGAACGGGCGAGGGCGGCGGCTACGCGCACGGACAGCATGGCGGCGAGGCGCTGGAGGAGCCCGCAAGAAACGAGAGCCCGACGTCCCTTCTTGGCTTCCCGGCTTTCGCTACCGCCGCCTCACGCCGAGACCGCATAGAAAATGGCCGACTCTGCCCCGCCCCTTTGGGGGCCGGAAGAGGCCGAAGCCACGCCCCCTTCCCCTCTTGGCCGTCCTGAAGAGAGAAGGTCACGTCGTCCACGACCCGGAAGTACTTTCCGAACCTTTTATTTTTCCCCTCCTGCCTCAGAATATTTGGGTTTAGAATTATTATTATTTAATGTCGTCCGGTCTTTATCTTTTTGGTCAGGGACGTCCCTTTGTCCCTTCCTCCGCTTTTTTTCTTAAAAATCAGTTCGTTTTTTTAATGTCGGTTGGCGACCTTGGAAATGGGCGGGGCACTCCACATGCCTAGGCCACGCCTACCCCCCAAGTTCGGAGATTTGGCCATTGAGGTGCGGCTGGAAGTGGAAGGAGGAAAAGGGGGCGTGGCTGACATCTGGGACACGCCTCTGTCGTGGGCGGAGCCTGGGAGGGATCCACGTGGCCGGCGGCGCTGACAGCTGGCGGATCATTCATTCCACGATGGCTTTGTCCGAAGGGGAAGCCGCTTGCTCTTGTTATCAAGGCGCTCGTTTCTAGCCGTAGGAACCGGTGACCCTCCAAAAAGAGCCCTCTTACAAATAGCTCTCGTCAGGTTTTGGAAACTCAAGGCCGTGGGTTCTTTACTGAGTGAATCCATCTCATGTTCTCTTTTCCTCGCTACTTTCAACTCTTCCTATTGTTAGTAGACCGACAGACATAATATATTTAACATGCTCAGAGGCTAACACAATGTGCACTTAGTTTATAAAGGCGCTCAACAAATATACCTAAATGTATTCCTGCATATCATGTATATCCCAGAATCCTCTCTATTGCCTTTTATTCCCTTTTAATATGTATGTAATGCTAACTTTGAAGCAATATGCATGTACCTTGTAAGCAATGTCATACTTTACTTCTGACCATTGCAACAGAAATGTAACATTTTATTCTTGAAATGCATATCCTGAAGAATGGCCAGAGAAACGAACAGAGTAGAAGGAGTAGGGGGAACCAATAGTTTACACTTCAAAAGCTACAACATGCTTCACTTGTGAGATAAGCCAGACTACAACTTTTTTTTTCCCATCGTCATCCTGTTGTCATCCTGTTTTATAACGAGAAGCCCAAAGAGCCATGGCCTGCCTCAGTTCAGCCATTTGAGCTGGGTCTGATATTTATCTGGTGGTCCTCCAAGAACACAACAGGTCCTATGAATGGATCTCCCCTCTCCTTCCCCCCCCCAACCCGGTCAGCTGTATGTATATTCATTCCGGATAATACTCCTTGGGTCTAAGAAAGTGATTCGTAGGCCACGAAAGCCGACTATAGTAACGCTGCTAACTCTTTCAGACGCTCCAGGACTTTCTGAGTTACCATCGGGTATCCAGTCCTTGCAAGATAGTGGCTCCAAGCGACCCGGAGGCTTGAATTTCTCCACTGTTCATAAATCTCGAATATTTAGTTATTTTTTATTATTCTTGCTAAATGATATTATTCTTTATATGTGAGACAAGAGAGTGAAAGGAGGGTGCTTCGCCCGCCCGCCTGGATGACAGGATGCTCTGTGTGAGTGGCCCTGGCGCCACCTGCGATTCCTCTTGGGGCTTGTTATGGGAGGATAAAACCGGTATCATCTCGAGCCTTTCTCCGGGTCCCTTTCCCCCGCCGGGGCTCCCTGCTGAGGATGGCGGGTGGGGTCAGACTCGAGGACCTCGAGGGACCCCCCTCTCTCTGATTCCTTTCAGGAGTATCCCATGGGGTTCCAAGGCAAGGTTCCCCCCCCCACTATCCCCCTGCCTTCCCGAAGCAAACCCTGCCCTTGGGAATCTCCTCCTCCTCCTTCCAGGGAGCCGAGGCTTTGACTTCTTGTGGAAGAGAGAAAGGACACCCCCCCTCCCCAGGACTACCCCTCCCAGGAGCCCTTGCGCCGCCGTGACGCCATCGGCCCGCGCCTGAGGCGAGGACGGAGGAAGGGAGCGGGAAGTTTGCAAGACGGTCGCCGGGATGGAGGAGAAGCTGAACAAGGTGGGGCGGGTCGGAAGCCCTTCCCCGGCTGCTCTCGGCTAGAAAAAAGGGCTAGGTTTTTTTTCTTTCTTTCTTTCTAATTTTTTCCCGCTCCTCACTTTTCTTGTTCCCTTTTACTCCGTTTCCAAAGATAACCGTTGCATGGTTTCCCACGAAAAACCTCCCCCCCCCCACCCCATCATTAGCTTCAACCTGCCACGAAAGTAACTGTGCTGGCGTTTGCTCGCAAGAATAAGGACAGCCACAGCTTTGGTCAAGATCAGGGGTACAATAATAATAACAACGGTAACAATAACAGTAATAAAGTCCTGGGATAGGATGATGATAATGATGATAGTTGCTGGGATGTAAAAGCAACAATAACAAGTGCTGGGGAATAATAATAATAATAATAATAGTAGTAGTAGTAATTATAATAATAATAATAGTACTAGTAGTATAATAATAATAATAGTAGTAGTAGTAATAGTAGTTGTGGGTTTTTTGGGCTCTATGGCCGTGTTCTGAAAGTTGTTCTTCCTAATGTTTCGCCAGTCTCTGTGGCCGGCATCTTCAGAGGACAGGAGTAGCACTCTGTGCTCTGGTTATTATTATAACAACAACAGCAACAACAATAATAAAGAGTAACAAGAAGAACATCATCATCATCTTAGAACTGCCACAGCTGGAAGGGATCCTCTGGAATCATCCAGTCCAGCCCCTCTCAAGGAAGCCCAGTGGGGAATCGAACTCCCAACCTCTGGCTCCGCAGCCTGTATTATCAGGAGATAGTATAGTATCTGTTGCTTGCCCCCAGGGAAGGCCCTTAGCCGTTTAACGAGGCAGGCCCCTCTCTCTTCCCCCCCCCCCCCGTAGCATCTGAAAACATTTTTATTCCAACTAGCTTTCGGTCTTTCATTTTAATGTTTGTCCATGAGTCCGGTCTCTGTGTGTCTGTGAATTTCGTTATTATTATTATATAGTGCAAATTTTAACATAGCGTGCTTCTCTATGCTTGTTGCCGATATTTCCTTTTCAATGGGTTTTATAGGTCTTCATTTGTTTTTAAGGTGATGATGTTTGTATTTCCATGTTTAAAAAATTGTAATTACTTTTTTGTGTTGTTTTAAGTCCTGCCACTTTTAATGATCAGTTCCACTACTGGAAGACAGTATAAAGGGAGTGCAAATTTTAACATAGCGTGCTTCTCTATGCTTGTTGCCGATATTTCCTTTTCAATGGGTTTTATAGGTCTTCATTTGTTTTTAAGGTGATGATGTTTGTATTTCCATGTTTAAAAAATTGTAATTACTTTTTTGTGTTGTTTTAAGTCCTGCCACTTTTAATGATCAGTTCCACTACTGGAAGACAGTATAAAGGGGAATAAATAAAGGCAAGGTGGGGACATGTTTTTTTAATGCCTAAAGTCCCAAGTCCCTGATCATCTAAAACTCTGAACAGCCACTACTGTGAAGTAAGTTAAACACCTCCATTATTTGTCTCTCTGCAAGGCTGCTTTGAATCGTAAGACAGTTTCTGGTTGCAATTAATATGAGCTTTGTTTTAAACATAATTTGGAAATTTTATTTTTTGGACTAATGTCCAAAGAAAAAAACCACTAACATTTCCAAGCTCTGATTTTATTTACAAGCTGTAGAAACCACAAAGCATAACTAAATGTTGAAACATGCAGTGCTATAGCATATCTACTTATTAGTCTTCACTAATTGCACTAATCCTGATCCAGTGACTAAGAGAGATAAGAGGTGATTATGTGCTGCCTAATTGCCTATTTTGTAATGTGCCTAAGAAAATGACTGTCACTATCCAAATTAATTAATTTTATTTGCACCCTAACTCTCTCAATGGAGGGATGTAAGACAGCTTTCAAAAAAGTCCTTTCTTATTTAAGTTGTCAGATTAATATGCCATTAAATATATAATCAAATCATTAGAGTCTTTTCTGATTAAATCACATTTACAGCAGTCATGCATAGTTTAACAGATAGACATTTCTGGGTCATACTGGTTTTTCTGGAGCATATACAAAGGGTATGGGTTTTGTCACCTTTTTTACTCTTGTTCTGTTCAGAATCCCACAATGCAAATTGCTGTAGTTGTATTATTTGATTTGTGGGAGCATTCATAGCATGGGAGGCAGAAATAAGTTGGGAGAAGAGTCATTCATATTTCCCCCCCCCTCTGTGACAGGTTGCGCCATGGCTGAAAAAAACCTTTGGGGATCAGCCCATCCCCCCATATGAAGTGGATCCCCGTACCGTTGATATTTTGTATGAGCTGGCAGAATGCAACGAATGCAGAGATGGAGACGCCAGCCTCTTAATCGAGGACATGAAACAGAAAGCAGCAGAGTATGGATCAGATGGTGAGACTGGATTTTAAAAATACAGTAGGACCATGCCATGGAGACATATATCTCCCCCCCCCGCATGAACGGTCCAACCACTCATGCAAGCGCACCTGCCCCACCCATCTGTGACTGCTACCCGCAAGCGCTCCCGGTCCATCGGCATGTGCGCATGAGTGCACATTGCCTACCCACAAGTGTGCCCCGCCCACCCGTGAGCATGGGGGGGTGCCACCCTGTGCATGGACCCCCACAACTGGTCTGCGGTTTGGAAACGGTTGAGGACCACTGCTGTAGAGAATCAGTTCCAAGTCTTGACTGGTGGATGCTAAGATGTATCAAAGGCCATGGTCCCTGCCTCCTTGGCTAGTTCTAGTAAATACTGTACATTGTGGAAATACATAGATCTGAGGTATTTAATGTTTTTTAAAAAGCAACAGCTAAATGAATCATTTCACACACTAGCAAGGTTATGCTCAAAATCCTACAAGGTAGGCTTCAGCAGTATGTGGACCAAGAACTCCCAGAAGTAAAAGCTGGATTTTGAAGGGGAAGAGGAACTAGAGACCAAATTGCTAACATGTGCTGGATTATGGAGAAAGCCAAAGAGTTCCAGAAAAACATCTACAGTGGTGCCTCGCTTAACGAGTGCACCATTTAACGATGAATCTGCATAGCGACATGTTTTTTGCGATTGCTAATGTGATCGCATTGCAATGTTTAGATAGGCTAAACATTGAATTGCGATGATCAGTAAGCGTTTGGCTTACCGATCTTCGCATTGCGATGTTTAGAAAACAGCTGATCGGCGGTTCCAAAATGGCCGCAGGGTGCATAAAATGGCCGCCTGCAGCATTTTCGTGCCCTGCCCTTGCGTACCGGGCAGCGAAAACGGCGGCCAAATGGGGGAATCTTCGCTTACCGGTGAGTTTTTCCCCAATAGGAATGCATTAAACAGAGTTTAATGCGTTCCTATGGGTTCCCCCCCGGATAGCGACGAATCCGGATAGCGATGTTAATCCTGGAACGGATTAACGTCGCTATCCGGGGCACCACTGTATTTCTGTTTCATTGACTACGCAGAAGCCTTTAACTGTGTGGACAACAGCAAACTATTGCAAGTTCTTAAAGAAATGGGAGTGCCTGGCCACCTTATCTATCTCCTGAGAAATCTATACGTAGGACAGGAAGCAACAGTTAGAACTGGACATGGAACAACTGATTATTACAAAATTGGGAAAGGAGTGCGACAAGGCTGTATATCCCCCCCCCGCTTATTTAACTTATATGCAGAATACATCATGTGAAAGGCCGGACTGGAGGAATCCCAAGCTGGAATTAAGATGGTTGGAAGAAATATTGATAACTTCAGATATGCAGATGATACCACTCTGATGGCAGAAAGTGAGGAGGAATTAAAGAACCTCGTAATGAGTGTGAAAGAGGAGAGTCCAAAAAATGGTCTGAAGCTCAACATCAAAAAAGCTAAGATCACGGCCACAGGTCCCATCACCTCCTGGCAAATATAAGGGGAAGATATGGAGGCCATGACAGATTTTACCTTCTTGGGCTCCATGATCACTGCAGATGGTGGTAGCAACCATGAAATTAAAAGACGCCTGCTTCTTGGGAGGAAAGTGATGACAAACCTTGACAGCATCTTAAAAAGCAGAAACATCACCTTGCCGACAAATGTCCGCATAGTCAAAGCTATGGTTTTTCCAGTAGCGATGTATGGAAGTGAGAGCTGGACAATAAAGAAGGCTGCCCGCTGAAGAATTTATGCTTTTGAATTGTGGTGCTGGAGGAGACCCTTGAGAGTCCCCTGGACTGCAAGGAGAACAAACCTATACATTTTGAAAGAAATCAACCCTGAGTGCTCACTGGAAGGACAGATCTTGAAGCTGAGACTCCAATACTTTGGCCATCTCATGAGAAGAGAAGAATCCTTGGAAAAGCCCCCGATGTTGGGAAAGTTTGAAGGCAAGAGGAGAAGGGGACGACAGAGGAGAAGATGGTTGAACAGTGTCACTGACGCTACCAACATGAATTTGACCAAACTCCAGGAGGCAGTGGAAGACAGGAGGGCCTGGCGTGCTCTGGTCCATGGGGTCATGAAGAGTCGGACACAACTTAACGACTAAACAACAACAACAAAATGAATCAGCAGATACTGATCCAGCAGATTGGATCATCCTGCTGTAAATGTGTTAAATTTTAAATCTAAGTAACAAAAGCAAGAAATACTTCCCCTTCCAAAAATCTTTCATCCGTTTTTTCACTTGTTACAATCATTTTTCATCCCTGATTTGCTTATTCACGGTTGTGATCAATGTGAGTTTTTTGGTCTATTTTGCAGGTAGTTATCTGCAGGATCTGTTGACGGAGAGCCTGAATCTTTCTTTTAGCAGCCTGTCCAAAGTGAGCGTCACCTATCTCAATAACTTGGTGGACACAGCCATTGCCCTCGAAACAAAAGACACTTCTCTGGCAAGGTAAAGGCCCTGCCTTCTGTTTTCCATCTTATTGAGTGCTCTAGTTTTAATTTTCTGCCCCTTGCCTTGGAAAAAATGTACACTTCTAGAGAATGTGATATACAGCAACCCTCAGCCATCCCAACTATGGCCAGTGATAAAGGATTGTGAAGAGATGCTGTCTCACCACTTCTAGGGATTCCTGCTTATTCCAGATTTGTGTAAAGCAGTGGTTCCCAACCTTTTCTAAGTCACAACCCACTTTTATAATAGTCAAGTGTGAGGGTTTGATCTTGGGATTAACAGTCTCCACAATGAAATCACGAGTTGTCTTCAATTTCAAACTAGGAGTTAGGTTTATTGGGGTGTTCAAAAAAAGTCCTTGTCAAGTAGGTTATTCCGTGATTTCTCTCCCTTCACCAGCGGGTCAGATAGGGGTGCCCATTCTTCATTTTTAAACAGTTTAGAGTCCTCAACATTTCCCCAAGGTCCAGTCCAGAGGGGAGCCTCATTTTCCCTCAACAATTCATCGGCTCTCTCATCCAGGAGTGTGTGTGTGGGGGGGTCTCATCCTCGTCCGACTGGTTGTCTGGGGTCTCTCTGGTCTTTCAAAAGGGGTTCTAGGGTCCTGAAGAAAACCCCTCTTCCTGGCCTCCACCACTCCCCATTCTCTTCTTTCTCTCTCCTCTCGTTCAACTCTTTCTTTTTCCTCTCGCAGCCTCCTTCTCCACTCTCTTGCTTCCGATTCACCCCACTACAAAGGCCTTTGAGAGATCCCCCTCTTTCTACGATAGTCAGCGTCTTCTCTCAGCACCTGCACACGCTCCCATTTTCCGGAACATGGGTCTTGCACCCAAACCATCTCCCAACTCTCTGGGTATCGGATCTTCCTTCCTTTTTATTTCCACCGAACCCGCCTCAATCTCCATCCTCCTGGTCCTTTGTATTCCCACCAATTCTGCCAAGGTTTGAACAGCTGCTTCTTTTTTACTGGGTTTGAGGAAGCAGGGGGCCTTGCACCCCGATTTACTGTAAACTCGCTCCCCTCTGCCAGATGTAGAAACTGGATGTTTGCAGAACAGAAATAGACTTTTTCAACCTCTGGGCTGCACTTCCCCAACCCTTGCTTCAAGCAAGATAATGTTTTGGGAAAGAGCCTTTCAGATATTTGAAGACAGTTGCATTATCTCTTCTTACTCTTCTTTCCTCTAGCTGAATGCACCTAGCTCTTTTAACCTTTCCCCATAGGGCTTAGTTTCCACTTCCTGTTCTTGATCACCCTGTTCTTTTGGACACACTTAAGACCTTAAAATGCGGCACCCCAAATCATTCGCCGAATACACCAAGGTAAAAAGTCACAGGATCCTGCTGTTGAGTGTAAACTGCTTTGCCTTCTCCAGAATGCCTTTCCCAATTTTTTTCTCTAAAAGTAGATCCTGGCAAAAGATCTCTGTTTTGCAGTAATTAAGAAGTTGCTGTACGTAGGTGAATTCTGGGAAGTACACACAAACCTATCTTAGATGTTCACATGGAGGAACTCATTCAAGGCTCTTGATATCTATCTGTGCGAAGGGGCCAAGTTTTTTTGCCATTTCTTTCCTTAGATACCTTGGGGACCAATAAGTCGATTTCCCTCTCTGCCCTCTAGTCAAAAACCTGCTGCCTTCTTTTTTTCTTTTTCTTTTCTAAAGCCTGATTGGTATGATGTGTTCTGTCCAGCTTCATTCCAGCCATCAACGACTTGACTTCGGATCTCTGTGTCACTGAGTCGAAAAACAGAGACGTGGAGCTTGAGCTGAGCAACTTGAGAAGAAAGCTCACCTCCGCCCTGGTGCTGGAGAAACGCCTTCAGGAGTGAGTGCTGGATGCAGAAGCTGCCCGGGCGGGTTTCTTTTGTCTTCTGACTTCTCTGCCCCCGTGGGCCTGTTGTTGAGATGGGAAAGCGTTCATGAAACGCAGCAGTCTGAAATGGCACGGTCTCTCTTGTTAGCAAAACTCTGCCACCTTGCTTTCCTGCACGCAAGGCAAAGTGATGCACTCTTCATGAAACGCAGCAGTCTGAAATGGCACGCTCTCTCGTGTTAGCAGAACTCCTGCACGCAAGGCAAAGTGATGCACTCGTATATGGCATTTTCTGCATTTACAACTTGCATGTTTCTGCATGATTGCTTACGGAGGGGAGGAGTATTTCTTGCTGTTCTAAAAAGCCTTCCAGGGAATTCCTCAGACTGCTCCAATGTGAGAAAGGGGCCCCCATGGAATACCAGTGGGAGAGACTCTGGTCTGTCATGTCCTCAGGGCCCAATCCTGCCCAGATTGTTAGCAACGTAGGCCTACAGCCCACGGGTTGCGCTGTTTTCTGCCAGTCTGTAGGGGACGGAAGCTGCAGCAGATGCAAAATGTGGAGGCCAGGTTTATATTGGAAGTACAGAGATAGGATCACAGCTCCCTGATTCTGGCCTCCCTGCATTGGCTTCCTGTTTGCTTCCGTGCCATATTCAAAGTGCTGGTATTAACCTATAAATGCCTTAATGGTTTGGGACCGCGCTACCTGACAAGGTGTCTCTCCCTACGGTTGTCCAGCCAGGTTTTGCGTTTGAAGGTGGTCACCCCTAGAGAGGCCTGGAAAGCTACCACCAAGAACCAGGCCTTCTTAGTAATGGCTATGAAATGCATTACCTTTGGATATATGCCAGGCTCCCCCCCCCCTTTTCTGGCCTTTAGGAGATGGGTACAAACCATATTGTTTGAAGAGAGGCCTTCAGAAACATCTTACCCCTATGATTTCCTTGTGGATCCATGGATTGGATTTTGATCCTGATTAGCCATCTAGGTTTATTTTATATTTTGCATTATTTCTGCTTTGGTCTGGATCTCATTATTTATGTGTCTCTGAGCTGAGGTGAGCAGTTGTGTTTTTAACTGCTGCTAAAAGGGTAGGTCTGGACACCAGATGGGTGGGGTATAAATGGAATGAATGAATTAAAGGGAGGGAGGGAGGGAGAGAGGGAGGAGAAAGCTTCCAAAATGTAATTACGGTGATGGCGTCACTCCTACTATGTATGTATGTATGTATGTATGCATTCATTCATTCATTCTACTTCTATCCCGCCTATCTGGGCTTACGACCACTCTAGGCGGCTAATATTTCTGACTTTATGTTGCATTAAGGTCCCACCTTTTCTCTAATGTACTGGTCTTGCGACCACTCTAGGCGGCTAATTTTTCTGACTTTATGTTGAATTAAGGTCCCACCTTTTCTCTAATGTGTTTAAGGAGGCATATATAACTCTTGTTTATTCCGTCCTATCCTTCCAACATCCTAAGTAAGGTTGTGACTCGCTCAAGGTCACCCCAAGAGTCTCAAAGCCGAGTGGGTTTTTTGAAGCCAGATGTTCTGAGTCCGAAATCCAGCTTTCTGACCACTAGGCCCACCCACCTCATGCTGAGAGTACTTCAGAGAGGTTTGCAAGCCCCATCCTCATGGCAGTCAAAAGGTTTGGGCAAGAAGTGGCTGGATCCTTTCTTTTTCTTTTTTTTACCCAAAAGGAGAGTTTTTCTTATCCCAGATGCATGGACATTGCTTGGAGTCTGGAGTTTCAAAGGCCAGGGTATGGAAGATTTCTTGAGTAGGAATAGAGATTCCAGATCCTGTAGCCCAGTGATCTTGTCCTTTTTCCGCTTTTACACAAAGTTCTCGCCTTGTCCTCGGAAAGGCAGCCTACCATTGGGCTGTACGTAGCTTGATCTCTGCCCTCACTGATGTGGCGTACGTTTGCCGAGACATTTGCTATTACTGAAAAAAAAAGAACTTCTTATTTTAGTGATCTTGTGAAAACGGAAGAACTCCTGGTAATGGAAAAAGCGAAAGCTGAGAGCCGAACACAGAACATGAAGTTCTTAAAAGACAAATCGGAGGATATCAAGTTCAGGATCAAGGCGGCTGAGGTGAGCTGTAGAAGCTTTCTGCTAGGGTTACCAAAGTGCTGCCTGATGATTAAAATCGAGACCTTTGCGTCGCTGACTTTTCCTGCTGCCTTACGGAGCATTATCAACACGTTTGCTGCTTCACTGACTGGCAGAACGAAAATTAGCCATGTCTGAGAGGTTAGGCTGGGCCTTTTCACCTTGGTTTGGTGACCGAAACTGTAGAGCAGGGTGGTGAACGTTCGAATAACGACCCCCAGCATCCCATTCCATGTTGCAGGAGGCTGATGTGGGTTGTAAGGCAAACCAGAGAGATCTCCATTCTTTGAGTAGGTTTTCCCCCCCTCATACTCAAGATACTTGACCTTGGTGAGCCTTCTCAACACCTCTCACGTACCTATGTGCCTCTGAGCTGTAGAGAATTTGCAAATAAGGGACACAGCTTCCAAAGTTGTTCTGCTGCTTCTTAGTACTACGTGTGTTGTTCTGTTCCATCTACAGGTGGTTGGAAGCCTGGGGAGAACACCATGGATCTGCTGGTGTTTTATGCCCTCCAGCCAGGTTAGATTGGATTTAAATCAGCTTGATTTAAATCATGATTTTAATCCCTAGTCAGTAAGCATTTTTAATAAAAACATGTAATTTAAATGTAAAAAAATCAATTTAAATTAAAAAAAACAATTTTTAATTTAAAAAATCTGATTAAAAAAAGAAAATGCTTACTGACTAGGGATTAAATCATGATTGAAATCAATTAAAATCAAATCCACCCTGGCTGCAGCACACATCAGGCATCACCAGCATAGACAGTAGCGAAGGCTGATGGGAAGTTGGAGACCAAAGACGTCTGGAAATGCCCACTCGTGTTGCAACTGGGAGGAGACATTCATATATGGCCAACTACAAACTTTATGTTAGAACATGACAAGTTATGTTGCCCTACCAGAATAGCTCCTGAGAAACTATTCTGTGAAAGAGCAAAGGCGATGCCTGTTTTTCCCCCTCTATATGAGAAGCCCCACAGCTCTGTAGTGGACCAAATGCTTCTGCCTTTAGAAGCACAGCTCTGTAGTGGACCAAATGCTTCTGTCTTTAGAAAGTACAGTGGTGCCTCGCTTAGCGATGTTAATCGGTGCAGCAAAAATTGCTGCTAAGCAATTTTAAAAAGCCCATAGAAACGCATTAAAACGCGTTTAATGCATCCTTATGGGCTTAAAAACTAACCTTATGTGAAAATCCTCATTGCAGCAGCCATTTTCAGTGTCTCTAAAGCAAGGCAAAACAGCGGGTGGACTTTTTGTTTACCCGGCGGCCATTTTGGAACCGCCGATCAGCTGGCCGAAAATGGGGGCTTTGAGATTTCCCCATATGATCGCTTCCCTGCGATCATTGCAAAGTGAAATTTCCCCATAGGGGCATCACAAAGCGATCACTCTTGCAACGGCAAAAAAGTTCATCACAAAGCAATTTCATCACTATATGGAGCAATCGTTACGCGAGGCAACACTGTACTAGGTCCAGTCCTCAGCATCTTCAGTGAGGGGGATCTCGGGAAACTGCAGGCATTGGAAATATGAGAGCCTGCAAGTCAGTATGGATAGTGGTGGACTAGGAAAGTCATTCGTTAGCTTGGAAAAAAAATACTTAATGGACAACACAGCTCACAGAATCCCAATGACTATGATGGAGTCATAGTCCAAAAAAAAAAAAAAAGAGCAACTTTTTCCTAGCTCGGCCTGTCGTTTTCTCTGGCTTTAAGGCAGCTTCATATGCCCATGAAGCACTCTGGGATTCCTTGCTTTTTTTTTTTTTAGATGAGAAATACAACCATGGGTTTTTGTATTTCTTCATCACTCTCCTCTACATAATCCTGTCATGTTTACTGTCTGGTTTTTGAGGCTGAAGAGCCATCTCTGTTTTCTCCTGTCTCCGCCTGCCCTTCCCCCTGCTTTCCCTTCTCTGCAGGAGCAGCTTTCCGCAAGTGGGCTGGATGCTTCCCTGACTCACGAGTCTCTAGTGAAGCTTTCGGAGGTGGGCGTTCTGCCATGGATATTCATGCTGTTCTGAGATGACACACACGGGCTGGCATTTCACCTGGTGCGACTGGGAGGAAATGACATTTTCCCCAGATGGTACTTGGGTGTGGATTTGCTGCAGATGGTCAGATCCAAAAGCCTCTCTAATGAGCATTTCAGAAGATACTGAGAGACACAGACTGCCTCTCACAGGGCTTGATTGGAATACTGTGGGCAAGGAAGGGGAGAGATTGGCATAGAAACTGGGGGAAAAAAGCACAAAGAGCAGTAATGTGAAAAAGAAAGTAGACTCTCTTTCAATTCTCTGGTTTTACATATCAGGACATAATAACAACTAACTGGTCCTTAGCAGGTCTGAAAATTAGGTACTGTATATATAACCTCAGATGAACAAGGACACAGGATAGATTACACCATGTCATGATTTATTTTGCAAAAATAAAGCCAAAGTAGAGAAGCCATGTGTTAAAAACTAAGTACAGCTTATGATTCTATAGCTCATACGTGGAGCCACCTTTAGCAGCAATACGTTGAAGCAATTGTATTCTGTATGACTTTATCCTAAGGGACGTGGTGGCGCTGCGGGTTAAACCGCAGAAGCCTCTGTGCTGCAGGGTCGGAAGACCAGCCGTCGTAAGATCAAATCCACATGATGGAGTGAGCTCCCGTCACTTGTCCCACCTCCTGCCAACCTAGCAGTTCGAAAGCATGTAAATGCAAATAGATGAATAGGTACCACCTCGGTGGGAAGGTCACAGCGTTCCATGTCTAGTCGCACTGGCCACGTGGCCACGGAAACTCTTCAGACAAACGCTGGCTCTACGGCTTGGAGACGGGGATGAGCGCCGCGCCCTAGAGTCAGACACGACTGGACTAAATGTCAAGGGGAACCTTTACCTTACCTTATAAGTTTATCAGTCTCATTTTGTTGTGGAGGAATTTTGGCCCACTCTTCTTTACAATGTCGCTTCAGTTTATGGAGGTTTGCCGGCATTTGTTTGTGCTACAGCATTTCAGTCAGTTTGAGGTTTGGACTTAGACTGGGCCATTGCAACACCTTGATTCTTTTCTAGCCATTCTGTTCTAGATTTGCTGGTGTACTTGGGATCATCGTCCTGTTGCATGACCTAATTTCAGCCAAGCTTTACCTGTCTGACAGATGGCCTCACATTTGACTCTAGAATACTTTAGTGTACAGAGGAGTTCATGGTCGACTCAATGATTGCAAGGTGCCCCAGGTCCTATGGCTGTAAAACAAGCCCAAATCATCACCGCTCCACATTGTTCCAGAAGTCTTGTCATTTGTCCAAATGCAAGTTTGCAAACCTAAGCTGTGCTGCCATGTTCTTTTTAGAGAGAAGAGACTTTCTCCTGGCAACCCTTTGAAACAGACCATACTTGTTTAGTCTTTTTCCAAGTGTACTGTCATGAGTTTGCATACTGAGGTCTGTAGAGATGTAACTCCTGGGTTGTTTGTTTGTTTGTTTGTTTTTGCAACTTCTCTTTTGCAATGCTGCAGTCTGACCTTGGGGTGAATTTGCTTGGACATCCACTCCTGGGAAGATCAGGAACTGTCTTTAATGTTTTCCACTTGTGAATAATCTTCCTCGGTGTAGAATGATGGACTTTAAATTGTTTGGAAATGGCCTTAAAAACCGTTCTCAGATTGATGGGCAGCAACAATTGCTTCTCTATGATCATTGCTGATGTGCTTCCTCTTTGGCATTGTGTCAGCACACACCTGAATGCTCCAGACCAGCAAATTGCTAAAACTTTGGCATTTGGTTAGCAGCTCCTGGCTGATACTTAGCCTCTTAACTCCAAGGGAAGCAATAGGAATACTATATGCTTAGTTTTTCACACAAGACTTCTCCATTTTGGCTTTTGTTGTTGTTAAAGACATCATAACTGGGTGTAATATCTCATGTGTTGTTGTTCATCTGTGGTTTTATATACAGTACCTAATTTTCAGACCTGCTAAGGACCAGATGATTTTTATTATGTCCTGATATATAAAACCATAGAATTCAAAGAGGGTGTACTTTCTTTTTTACATGACTGTACACCTGCTTGTGTCTCAATGGTGTAGTAGTGTGGGACTCACCCCTAAGCCAGTCAAACACAGAGATATGTGCATATCTTCTAAGAAGTGGTCATATAGGCCAGATGGGCGGGATATAAATCAAATAAATAAATAAAATAACATAAAGTGACTCCCATTGACTTCATCAAGAATTTACTTACATATTAGAAAGGGAGTGTAGGATTGTGGACTGAGGAGTGGCGTTCTACCAATCCAGAGCCCTAACCAGCCTGGAGCAGTGGCTTTGTAGTCTCCTTCAGACCTGAAAGCATCAAAGGGGGAGGGGGAGAAACGATTCTTCTCACCTGCCCCAATGACTTACTCTGCTAAGACCTCTAGAGCAGCCTTGATTAGGGGAACGTGAGCGGTAGGAGAATGCTGGCAAAATTTAGGTAGGTATTTTACCATTTTGGATTTAGTTTTACTTATACTGAGTCACTAGCTGAGATCCGGATGTTCCCATCATTCCTTCCTAAATATGGGAATGAAATGCATAGCAAATATTTGTAAATTGCTCTGTATGCCTCATATGGAAGACAGCCACCTAGATTGTACCTAAAACTACTTCTGTAGTATCTTTGTTTTTCTGATCAGAGGACTCTAAACTGAATATTACACATGACTTACTGCATTCTCTCTACAGAAACTGGCTGAAATAAAGAAGCAGGCTGTACCTTTGAAGAAGAAACTGGAATCTTACCTGGATCTTACACCTGTAACTTTCTTCCTTCCTCATCCCTTCTGTGTCATATCATGCTGCAACTTCTTGATGGGCTGAAGAAAGATCTACTGGGATGGAAAGGAAGAGAAGGGAAGACCACTGGGGTGGGGGAATGTGGGAATATTCAAACAGGGAACGGAGTGGTAAGGCAGTGAGTTTTAAGAAAGTGTCCCTTTTCCCCATCTGATTATTGTTCTCTGTGCCTTTTCCCCATCTGATTATTGTGGTTTCCTTTTTTTTTTTTTAGTGAAATGTTGTTATGATTTTAAATTGTATTAGATCTGATGTGTTGTTACCCGCTCAGAGTAGTCGGTACAACTAGATTGGCGGGCTATACAGTGGTGCCTCACTTAACGACGTTAATTCGTTCCAGCGAAAACGTTGTAAAGTGAAATTAAAAAACCCATTGAAACGCATTGAAAACCATTCAATGGGTTCCAATGGGCTAAAAACCCAACGTCCAGCGAAGACCCTCCATACGGTAGCCATTTTCGGTACCTGTATAGCGAGGAATCCATCCCTAAGCACAGCGGGGAGCCATTTTAAGCACCTGACGGCCATTCTGAAAACCCAACGATCAGATGTTTTGATTGTCGTTAAGCGAAGAATCAGTTCCCGAAGCAGGGAACCGATCACCAGGAAGCGAAAAAACCCTATTTAAAACACTGTTTTGTGATCACAATTGCGATCGCAAAAAGATCGTGAAGTGGATTTGTCGTAATGCGGGGTAATTGTTAAGCGGGGCACGACTGTAAATGTAACAAATAAATAATAAACTAGGAATGGCATAAGGCTTTAATGAAGCATGGCGTCTCTGGCACATGTGAGAGCACAAGAAAGGTGTGGTGTAGAAGAGGGTTGCTTCTGAGGAGGGAGAAGCGGTGTGGGCTTTGCTTCTGAAAACTTGTTTTATGTTTGCACAGTGACATCAGAGTACTGTTGGGGAGATCCATGCTCCAAGGAGCTTATGATTTTATTTTATTTATATCTTTTCTATGCCTCTTCTCTCCCCCTAAAGGTACTCAAGATGGCTTGCAGTAATTAAAACACAAGTAAAGTTAGGTTTAATAGAGTCGGGGGAGGTGAAGGTGGGGCAAACAAGCAAGGTGGGGAATATGCATGTTGTCCATCTGTGTGTCCTTGAGCTGCCATCTGATCGGGGAAGGAGGACCGAGGGTTTGCCAAAGGCTTTATGGAGCAAACTGGTTTTGAGGAAAGATTTGGAGAGAGAGGAGGATGTGGCAGCAGTGGGACTTTTCAGACACACAAGGAGAAAAGGCAGAGTCATTTGAGGGAGCAGGAAATCTTTAGATGACTGCCAAATACAGCTGTGCTTCTTCCAAACCTATGTTCCAAATCCCCTGTGGTGGATTTCATAGAAAGACTTTTGAAGGATGTTGCAGTGTGGGCTCAACCAAGATGAGTTCCCACATGTGTTGATGACAGAGATGTCTGCAGGCATTCAGGAGGTTTGGACAAAGCTTCATTTTGCCTCTGTGTCTCTTTTTCAGAGCCCTTCCCTTGCTCGAGTGAAGATTGAAGAAGCAAAGAGAGAACTGGTGTGTATTTTTGTTTGCAGTAATAAGTTATCTTAATTATACTGGTGAACAGGCATCTCTGTAGGCCCTCTTTTTCCTACATCATTTTGTGTAGGGAGCAGAGGTGCTTCTCTGTGTGGTGCAAACAGCTTTCACCCGAAAGTCAACGCGAGATATTGTCACTTGAATATTAAAATCGCACCTTTTGCTCGTTTTCTCTTCTCAGTTCTTTGCAGCTCTCTAAAGCCAGGAAAAGTTCAAGGAAATATGTGTAGCCTGAAATTTTCTACCACTCCTCTCCTTCACTTCCCACCCTATCCATCCCCTGTACTGGCTTTAGAATATGACAGTGGTGTAGATCAGTTGTTCTTAACCTTGGGTAACCCAGGTGTTCTTGGACTGCAGATCCCAGAAGCCCCAGCCAGCATAGCTGGTGGTGAAGGCTTCTGGGAATTGCAGTCCAAGAACACTTGGGTTACCCAAAGTTAAGAACCACTGGTGTAGATGGCCAGGACCTGGGTCTAGACAGTTTGCATTGCTCAAGGAGATGGGAGGAGATGTGCTGAAGTGGCCACGGGAACGTGCCCTTCTTGTGCCAGTAACATTTGCACTAGCAAAAAATGTACTATATTTTTCCATGTATAAGACGACCCGATGTATAAGACGACCCCCACTTTTCCAACCCCAAATAAGAAAAGTGGGGGTCATCTACTTTGTTCCTTCTTCGACACAAGGGAACTGAGTCATCCCACCCACCCACCCACCCAAAAATTCTACAATTGTAAATTTCAGGCATGGGCTGTGTGGGATAGAGGTTGTCCACCCAATGGGAATAACACAAACATCAGTCTTATGTGATCCCACACCTTAGAACCTGCCCAATTAATGGCATGGGGGTGGGACAAGTCTCGAGGTGCCCCATAAAGGCAAAGATTTGCTGCATTCCTAGCTTGTCCCACCCCCATGCTATCAACTCAGCAGGTTCTAAGGTGTGAGATTGCATAAAACTGAAGTTTGGGTCATTCTCATCCCCGAACTTGGGCAGGACAGCCTCTGTCCCACACAGCCCATGCCTGAAATTTGCAATTTTATTTTTTTGGGGTGGGTGAGATGAATCAGTCCCCTTGCATCGATGCAGAGGGCAATTTTGCTGTTTTCAGCACTCCTCAAATTTTTAAAAAAATTATTTTTAAAACAGTCACTATGGTTTCAGTAGAATAAAAAACAAACAACTGTTGTAAAGAATTCTTGGGGGGGAAACATGGTGTGCTCCCCCCCTCCAGGTCCAAGAATGGGTGTATGTAACCCTGGGACTTCTTATGATTATCCTCCCTTGTCAAGAAAAGCTTGAGGAAGGCATCTATGTTGGAAAAGTTCGTCAGAGAAGAAGTGTTCTATACCAGTTGCAGTCCAAGAACAGGTGCCTCGCTTGATGACGTTAATTCGTTCCAGCGAAATCGCTGTAGAGCAAAATCGTCGTCAAACGAAATTTTAAAAACCATTGAAACGCATTGAAAACCGTTCAATGCGTTCCAATGGGCTGAATACCTGCTTGTCCAGCGAAGATCCTCCATACGGCGGCCATTTTTGGTGCCTGTAAAGCGAGGAATCCATCCTAGAAAACAGCAGGGGGCCATTTTCTTCAGCCGGCGGCCATTTTGAAACACAACGATCAGCTGTTTGCTGATCGTCATAAAGCGAAAATCAGTTCCCGAAGCAGGGAACCAATCATCGCACAGCGAAAAAAACCCCATTTAAAACATCTCAAAAGCGTCAATTTAAAACATTGTTTTGCGATCTCAAAAGTGTCAATGTAAAGCGGATTTGTCATAGAGCGGGGTAATCGTCCAGCCGGGCACGACTGTACTGGCCAGGGTTTCTGAGTGTGGCAATTGAAGAATACCTGAGTTACCCCAGGCTGGGAACTGCTGCTCTATCCAATTCAAACTACAGTGTGTTTGAGTACAGATACAGGATATGATGAGAGGAACCCGTCAGTGTCTGGCTGGCTGGGTATGATGCGCATGGAACTGTCCTCACTCGGGGCCTGAAACTGGGAAATAGGTTTCTTCTGCTTATTTGACCCTTGCAATGCAATATCTAGGCTGGAATTTCTGGGAAAGTTTTGAAGAAGCTCAAGGGAGCCCCGGTGTTATCTTGGATAGCTTTTTTCCGATTTTGGTAAATGTCGCTTCCCCCAAAGGTACGAGAAGGGGGTTACATGCAGGCTCTAGCAAATGTTAAAAAGGTAAAGAGAATGTTTTGTGGGTTTCAATGGGTAGTGGGTGCCATCTCTCTGTTCCATATGGTGACTCTTCCTCTATCCCAAGCACCAAATAAAGTCACTTATTTTTCTCTTACTCCTTCTAGGAAGCACTTGAAGCAGAGTTTTCAACAAAGGTGGATATGACAGCACGGTCGGTAGTATTACCTACCAAACGACCGTTTACTTAACAAGCTAGGGGTAGAAAGAAAGGGATGGCTATGTGCATGTTGGTTTTTCTGTCTTGTCCTCACGTTATATTGTGTTTTCTTCCTTTGCTTTCACTTCTCCAACAAATGCAATTGTTATTAAAATAAATTGTACACGTTTTTGTTTTGTATAGAGTGGCTTCTTCTTTCCATGACACTGATTTTGCTTGTTTTGTTTCTCAATTAAGAATATTTACAAAAATATTGTTGCAACATCACTTGACAGTTGTCCTCAAGGCAATGCTGTACTTATTTAATTTAGATAGACAAAAACATTAATCACTCATAATTTGATCAACTTCAGGAGAACTCTAAATTTTTATAGCCCCAAATACCATTTAAGAACATTAAAGGTGGTCTTTAGCCAACCTATTCCTGGCTCTTACTAGTAGTGAGAATTATTTTGCTCCAGCATTAGCATCCAGCACCCTTTGGTGACTTCCAGAGCAATGTTTTCCAACCTGGGGGATGTGACCCCCCCCAATGGGGGGCCACCAAGGAGCAATGTTTTCCAACCTGGGGGTTGTGACCCCCCCAATGGGGGGCCACCAAATGTTTTGGGGAGGCCACAAGTCACCTCCTATGTATTGTAAACCCTTGTCAAATATTTTTCTTCCTTGACCTTTCAGAGTGGGATATTAAAGTTAGCATGTCTTGGGCACATATGAGAAACAGGCCCTTTGGGGAGAAAGAAGCCTCTGCTTTCTGAGAAGGGGTGGCTTTACTCCATTAAAAATGCCTTTTTATGCAAACGTGATGGTGGTGGGGTGTTACGAGTCACTTCGCTTTTATAAAAGGGGGTCACCACTCAAAAAGGAGGGGAACCAACTCTTCTAGAGACTGTGCATCCTAGTCCTAAACTCTGTACCAGATCTCTCACTCGGTAGCCAGGAGCCCATCACTTCAACATCAAATCAAATCCCAAAGCATTAAAATGGCAAAAACTTTCATCAAATCTCTCAGGAGCTCTCTGGGCCTATTTGATCCACATGTCTCTTGATCCAGTGGTTCACAAACTTTTAAAGGAAGTTCGTGAACCACTGAACTTCCTTTAAATGTCAGGCTGACTTGGCACATCTAGGCTTGCTTGTTGAGTCTTCTGCATCCCAGACTCCTCGGCTCTGGTCGTTTCCTCTCTCTCTCTCGGTTTGCCTTTGGCCTCCTGACTCAATGGCTTGTTCCATCCCTTCTAGCTCCTAATTCACGTGCGACTGCTGTTTGCAACCCTGAGGGACGCCCTGAGAAATTTTAAATGGCAGTCCCCACTTGCCCACTGTGACTCGGGGCTCTTGATGTAGCAAGGGAGTCGTAAAAGACTCTGCTAGCATTCCCAGCCCTGTTTTTTTAGGACCCTGGCCATTTCCAGATGTTTGCATGTCAGAGTTTTTATTCCTTCTAGAGGAGGATTAGCCCAGGATGCTTCCCTCAAAGTATTTAAACAGACATGTTCCCAGTCTGGAGATTTCAGTGTGAAGCCTTGATTTGTATGGATGCTGTCTCCATCCATCCATCCCACTACCGAGAACCTGGGGGGGGGAAGCTTTTGAATAAAAGCTTCTTAGTAATATGTAACTTCATTGGAAAACATAACAGCTGGACTGGGGTGTCATTAGTGACTCTGAGAAGGAAAGATGTTGGCAAGTCTTTGAGTCCAAGTCCCAAGTCCGGGTCCGTATGAAAAGAAAGCTTGGCTCCAGTTCTTTCCACCTACGTATCTTTTTCAAATCATGCATGGAAAATGCTGAGTGTTCAGTCTGGGATGATGCCCGACTGTCCCCAGCTCCTTTCAAAGTAATTGTGCTTGCTTGAGAAGCTCATGCCTCTTAATGCCAACTCTTGTTGCAGAGAAAAACTTGCCAAGAGTCTTGTGGCCCTTGAAAGACCATTTTACTGGCCATAATATTTGGAGGACTGTAGCCTTGTTCTTCATACGCATTTTGTGTTATGAAAATGCAAGAGAGTTTCAGCCCTTGGCTTGCAATAGCTGAAACCTTTCAGCGCTTGGTTGGAGGGAATGATCCCACCCTGAGTCTGCAACTGGTATCTTTAAGGGATTGTGCAAAGCCTGATGAAAAATATATATTAAAAAAAGTGGAAAGTTCAAAGGTTCTGAAGTTACATATGCACAGGTATCAACACCTGGACAGCAGACTTAGTAAAGGGCATGTAGGTGAGTTGGTCACTTTTCTCCCCATGAATGAAGTTGGCTCACCATTCTGTTTACATGAGAAACAGATGCAAAAGCAAGGAAATTATTAACTAGCACATTTTATTTTTATTGCCCCTAATGTCTTCTTTTACCCATGTGCTCCCTTTTGGAGAGATGTCAATCGCAGAACTTTGGAAGAAGTCCCTTTTTTTGGGGGGGGGGAGAGACTACAAATCCCACAACCCCCAGCCAGCACACTCCAGGGATTATGGGAGTTGTAGTCCAGAAATAGGGCACATTCCCAATTGCTGCTAGGTGGCCAGCCCGTCCTTAAGACATCATCTTTCTTACTACAACTTTGCTGCCTTTCCAGTTTTGTATTGATTCTCCCTCCCCCCCCCCGCACACGCGCCTTTCAGCGCACGAGGACTAACGTTACTTCGGCGCTCGCGCATGCGCCCGTCGTCTCCTCTCTTTTTTGACAGTTACGACCGTTGGTTACACAAGCTCGGCCCGTCCCGCCCTCTCTGAGGGAAGCCAACTTGAGGGGGGGGAGGAGGGGTTGCGTCACGATCTGGGGGCTTCTTCGTTTTCCCGCCTTTTTTCCGGCTTCTCCCCACCCCCTTTCCTGCATAAAGGAGCTACGCCCCCGGGAGCCGCTAGACGGCGCTGCGAAGACGCTCTAGCCCCCTTCGCCCCCTCCTCTCTGTCTCGGTCAGCCGTTCTTTCCGGGCCTCTCTCTTCTTCTTCCTTCTCTCTCTCCCTCTTCCCCCCTCCTTTCCTTCCTATTCCGTCCAGCCAGCCAGCGGGCGCCTCAGAGGCTCCCGGAAATGACGTCGAGGGAGCTGGAGCCTCGCTCGGCGGCCTCCCCTCCCTGCGGTGACATTTCCACCCTCCGTCCGGCTCCTTCTTTCCCTCCCTCCCTCCCTCCTTCCTGCCGGGCTGAGGCGACGGCGGTAGCGGCGGCGGAGGCGGCGGGAAGAGAAGCCCCGGCCCTGGCCCCTCATGGTCCACCTGGCCTGTTCCGCGGGGCCTGAGGCCGGGAAGGGCAGCCGCCCCCGACGTCTGGGTGTGTGTGGGGGGAAGAAGCTCCGGCTGTGGAGGCGCCGGCCGTGCCTGAGGTGAGGAGTACCTCCCTTTCCATTGGGGTGGCTTCAGACCTCCTGGGGGAACCCACGGGGCCCTTCCTTGGAAGGGGAAGCCGAGGCCGCGAGTCTCGAGAGTCCCTCGCTCTGGTGTGTAAAAGGAAGGAGGGTGATTTAACCTTCTGAGGGGCCGCCCCCGCCCCCCACTCCCCGTCCTGCGAATCTCTAAGGAGGGGGCACCTCCAGAAGAGGGACCCTTCCCAACTTTCTCTCCTCTTCTCTCTCTCCCCCCCCCCGATGCTTATGGGGGCATGAGCCATTTGGGGGAGGGGGAGAGGGGGAGGAATAAGCTGTGCTTTCGCCTGTGGGGGGTGGGGCGGGTTGGAGAGAGGATAGTGGATCACCGACAAGGCCTCGAGGGAGGGCAGGATCCCAAATCTCTTTTTTTTTTTCCTCCTCCTCCCTCGCTCGTTTTCTTCCTCCTGAAGAAGGGAGGCGGGCTAAGAATAATCTTGCCCTGGATGGTGAAAATGGGGAGAGAGATCAAGGGGGGGGAAGGGAAACGTGTGGGGGGGCCCTGTTTGAAGAGCTGCACCTGAGGTGCCGTAAAACCCAACCATGAGTCTGCTGATGCCTCTGCCTCCCTCGGCTGGCTCGGTCTGGATGTTTACGCGATACCCTAAAATAGGCAAACGTCACGGGAAGCCCTTCACTGCCTGCTCTTCTTCTTCTTCTTCTTTCTGTGCAGTGATGATGATTTAGTTTTAAAGGGAGAGAGAGAAAAAAAGGGGACATGTGGCTCTCCTCTTGATTCAGCATTTTCGGGGCCCTGACTTTCTCTCCCGTGCCATGTAGCTTTCTGTTGTTTTTTGTTTGTTTGCTACAGTCAAGGACACACAGCCCCTCCCCCCTTTACACACACTCCATTCCTAAGTGTGTTGTCTTAGAAGTAAGTTCCAGTGGTTTCGGTAGGAGTAGATCTGTATTGAGTTTAGAGCCTTGGGTGTCGCCATGGGTGCTGGAAGGAAACAGACCAAAGTTAGTGAATGTGAGAGATGAAAAGAAGCTACTGTATGGCCCAGGGATCGCTGCCCTGTTGGCGAATTTGGTATCTTACACAGGATGGATAAGCAAGAAGCGGGTTTCTTTCTTTCTTTTTCTTCTGGCTGCTAAAGTTTAATATGCGAAAGTTAATGTTTCCTTGGAATTAAATTGCCTTAGTTACTGTTTGTTTGTCTAGCAAGAAAAGAGCATTAGAGTTCTCTCTAGGCCATTGCATGGTGAAATGCTGTTACAGACTTAAGTCACAGGAGGCAAAAAAAAAGTTTTCCTTAGTGAAAGGAACATCTATGTTAGTCCATTCTAAGATAACTGCTTTTATTGAAGATTCTGGATTGTTGATAATTACCTTGCCGTAGTGGTAATGGAATATGTATTGACTCCCCCCCCCCTTCTGTAAAGTGGTAGACTCATTGTGTCCTCCCGGACTCTCACTTCACTAACTGTTGTTAGTGAGGATGGAAACAAGCTTAGAGGTGTAACTGAAATTCAACTGTCTGACCTTAAGGATTCTTTTCAGCTGGTTTAAAGACAATGAATGATAAATATAGCTGCTTTGAATTTCTGTGATCTGACACACAGCTTTAGCAAAGCTTAATTTTAGCCCTGTGGAATGTTGAGTAAGAATAGTGATTGCTGTAAGACACTTAATCAGGGCTATCCATAATGTTGAAGGACATATTTTTGAATGCTCAGAGCAATGCATGGAAGTTATTGGTGAGATCATAATGCAGCATCAATAACTTGCAAAGGACTCTCAATAGCCAGATGACCAGCACAAGTTCAATTTTGTGGAATGAAATCAAATTAATAGAGAAGTTTACTGTTTTGCATGTGACGACGTCCTAGGTGTCTACAGACATGTTGCTTTTAAAAAACAAGAGCATGCAATCTGTGAAAGTATATGTATTATTTTGGTGTTGTGTTTATAGAATCTAGTTAATTTGGAAATTAAATATATTTGGTGAATATTGCATTATCTAGCTGATAAAAAAGTTTCAAGATTAATGTTTGTTTTAGGTGACCTGCTCATTTAGCTATAATAAAATGACCACATCCTTGCTTACTTTTGTCAGGTGGAATCCTGTTGGCTTCTCTTGAAAACTAAAAGTCAGTCTTTATATCTCCTATGCAGTGCTTTGGGTGCATGTTGTAATCCCCATCCACGGTCCCTTGTATTGAGTACTTTAAATGCCACTCTAGAAAGTGCCTTGACCTTCCAGGAACAGGTTTGGGGGGGTAGTGCAAGAGATTATGAGAACAAGAGGCTAGAGGGGCTCTTTAAGGCAGGTTGAATATTCACATTCAACTCTTTGGATCCTCACCCGTTACTGAACAGAGTTGGAATTCTGGAATTCCAAAGGCAGGTGAAGCACCTCCTGGCCTATATTTACATTTAGTATTTTCTGTATTTCTAGGACAGGCAGTCACAGAATTGCCAGCCTTCCTGTATGGCAGGAGCATGACAACAAGCTTCAAACACTACCAGGCCTTGCTATCCTGTACAGTTTGAACCACATTGGTTCAGTTAAAGTACTGCTGGGGACTTCTTTGGCTTGCATCCGTAGGTGTGAATTTTTAAGCTGGTGAAGAAAAAGTGAAGACTATTGTGTTGGTTATGTGAAATTTAAAGTTATCCATAGTACTGGAGCACTGGAATATATAGTTTATGTGGACATATTTTACATTTTTGCCTCAGTAACTAGCCGAAATTTATAGTTCTGTGGTCTTCAGTCAAATGATAATTGTTGGAAAGTACAGTATTACCAAATTGTTGGTAGAGAGTGTTTGGTTATTAACACTTTAAAAATGCTGTAAAGGTTTGGAAGAACTTAGAAAAAACTTCACAGTATATACTTATTCTAGAAAGCACATGAAAGGTAAACAACGATGCTTCTTAAATGGTTTTGAAACCTGACAGTTTCTCTGCTTAAATTATTTAAACCTTTACCACTGTAATTCTGGGCCATCTCATTTTGCGCTGGCTATTAAGATAAAGTAGAGGGGAACAAAGAAGGTATAGTTTTAACTGTTACAGAAAGGTGCAGTGGATTCAAATGGCAAGAACTAGCATCTGGTAAAATGTAATTTTGCTTCAGTCTACTTCCCCTTTCTGTGGATTAAAGACAAAGAATAGTGCTAGTTAAGAAGAACCTTTTATATACAACTCCTAGTTGCTTTTTCTTGATATTGTGAGTAATGTGAGAATGCTTAAAATTGAAGAAACCAAGTGCAGTATACAATAGAAGGTCTCATAGTGGCTGTTGTGAGTAACATAACTTGGATGAAACAGATGCCCTGGATCCGTTTCAGTCGGGCTTCAGGCCGCACCACGGTACAGAGACGGCATTGGTCGCCCTATACGATGACCTGTTGAGGGAGACTGACAGGGGTAAAATTTCCCTGTTGGTCTTCCTTGACATCTCGGCAGCCTTTGATACCGTCGACCATGGTATCCTCCTGGGGAGGCTCTCCGATTGGGAATTGGAGGCTTGGCGCTTGCTTGGCTCTGTTCCTTCTTGGAGGACTGCCCCCAGAGAGTACAGCTTGGGAAGAGTGTTTCGGCCCCGTGGAGTCTCAATTGTCGGGTTCCACAGGGGTCGATTATCTCCCCAATGATCTTTAATATCTATATGAGGCCACTGGGTGGGGTCATCAGGGGGTGTCGGGCATCGTGCCATCAATATTACACCCAGCTCTACATCTCCTTTTTACCAACTGCAGGTGATGCCGTCCTGTCCCTCCAGCGCTGCCTGGGGACTGTACTGCAATGGATGCAGGAAAATGGGCTGAGGCTGAACCCGGACAAGACTGAGGTTCAGAGGGTGGGTGCCCCCGTGGTTGGCGGCTTGGGTGACTCTCTTGTTTGGGAGGGGTGACCTTGGCCATTAAGAGTGGGGTTCGCAGCTTGTGGATTCATCTGGATCCGACGCTCACCATGGAAACGCAGGTGGCGTCGGTAGTCTGCACCGCCATTTTCCATCTCTGGTGGATAGCCTGGCTGCGACCCAATCTCGATACGGGGACGCTCACTACCTTGGTGCATGTGCTCGTAATCTCAAGATTAGACCACTGTAACTTGCTCTACGTGGGCCTGCCTTTGAGGTTGATGCGGAAACTCCAAGTGGTGCAGAATGCGGCAGCCAGACTCCTTAGTGGAGCGAGAAAATACCAGTATACTTCTCCTATTCTGGCCGCATTGCATTGGCTGCCCATTCGGTTCCACATTGACTTCAAAGTTTTAATGTTTACTTACAAGGCCCTAAACGGTTTAGGACCTCGATATTTGGCGGAACGCCTACTCCCACCATAGTCTACCTGGATCACCTGAGCGAGCCAGGAGGTGAGGCTGAGGAGCTTGACGCCGAGGGAGGCCCGGAAGGAAAAAACACGAAATCGAGCCTTCTCGGCAGTAGCTCCTCGCCTCTGGAATAATCTCCCTCCAGAGATCCGCGCGGCCCCTACACTGGGTATCTTTAAAAATCAATTAAAAACATGGATGTTTATTCAGGCCTTCCCTCCAGGCAATACTTGATTTTTCTTCTTTCTTTATTCTTCTTTCTTCATGTTTTTCACTTTATTTTTCCTGTCTCATAAATTGATATGGAATTTATTTATGTAATAATTTTTGTGTTATTTTTATTTGCTGTTTTATGTTGTATTGGAAGCCGCCTAGAGTGGTCGCAAGACCAGATAGGCGGGATATAAATAAAATAAATAAAACAATAAATAATAAAATAAAATAATAATACTTGGGCTTCTTTCTCTTAAATATATTTATCTACATGGTTAACATATTTAAGAGAAAGAAGCCCAAATAAATTATGTTGCTCACAACAGGTGCTATGAGACCTTCTATCGTATACTGTATGTTTATTTACATGGTTAATACAATTCTCAGTGTGATATAGTGGATAGAGTGATGGACTAGGACTCTGGAGAACACAGTTCAAATCCCCACTTTGCCATGGGAGCTG